ACAGCGGGGTGATGGGGCTGGTGCCTTCCCCTGATCATCCCGGTCACCTCCCACAAAGGGAGGCCAGACTGTGGCTTAGGCCCGCTCCCCAAGGGGAGCAGGGAGCAGGGAGTAGGACATCCCCTGAGGGCTCCCAGTATGTGATAGGGGGCAAGCTGGGCTGAGGGAACCCCCACTCCAGTGCACAAATTTTTGTGCACCGGGCCTCTAGTAATAATAATAATAATAATAACAACAACAACAACAATGGCCAGTATTTATGTGCCAGAGTTCTCTTATATGGATTATCTCATTTAATCCTCATAATAACTCTGAGTGTGCATGATTATTATTCCTTATTTTGAAAAAAAAGAAACATAATTACTCTCATCTGTTGTATTATGTTGGCCCAGACATAAGCTTTTCAGTAAATATTATCTGCTTAGTCCCCATCCCATCTTACACCGTTTCTGACAACAGCATGAAAGATATGAAATCTGTCTTAGAAAAAATGTGAAACTAAGCAAGTGGTCTGCATGGCAATATTTCAGAGTGACATTAGAAAGGCTTTCAAATAAGTGGATCTTTTCAAATGTATAATTCATTGTGTGTGATATGTTGTTACATGTTGGCCTTTAACAGGGCCCCAAAAGAAAAACTGTCTTTTGGGGCCCTGTTATAGCATAATTAGCTTTATCATCTGAGGATATATTTAAAAGTGGATCATTTAGAATATTAAAATATGCAGGAATGACTGCTCATTTAAAATATATGTAAACTAGAGGCCTGATGCACTAAATTCATGTACTGGGGGCATGTCCCTCAAACTAGCCTGCACCCTCTCCAATCTGGGATCCCTCTCACAATCCGGGACTGCTGGCTCCTAACCACTCGCCTGCCTGCCTGCCTGATTGCCTCTAACCACTTCTGCCTGCCAGCCTTATCACCCCCTAACAGCTCCCGTGCTGGCCCGATCGCCCCCAACTGCCATCCCCTGCTGGCCCAGTCACCCCATCTTGTGACAACATGGGGGTGGCCATCTTGTGATGACATGGGGGCGGTCATTCTGTGGCAGGCATCTTGTGATGATGTGAGGGCGTGACGGTCACCTAGGCTTTTATTAGTATAGACGTGCATACACACACATTTTCTCCCAAGTTGCAGAGAAATGTTAGAAACACTGTTATGCCATAAATCCATACCTAGAAATTTCTCAGTAAATCTCCAGAAATATCTGCAGAGAAAGCCAAGACCTTTTAGGACTTCCCTAATGAATAAGGCTTCAAATTCAACTTTATTTTTCTGAATCTTGGCATTTAGTACTAATGTCAAATGAATTCTTTGACATGGTGAGCATGAGTGTCTTATGGGATTTTAAAAGCTGTCCTTTGTACTTAAGTTCCAAAAAATCTGTATGAGTCTGCAGCACATATATATGACAGTTTCCAGAAAGATCTCTCTATTATACAGGTTGCCTTAATTAAATAAATGGTGATATCAGAAATATTATTCAAACAAACAATAGTTCCAAACATTGTCCACAACTCCCGACTGCAGGACCTCCCACAGACGTTAAAACCCTGAGAAAATTTTATTTCCCCAATTCTTCCTACTTCCCTATCTCAGCACCTTGCCCTAAATCAATAGATAATTGAGTGAAAATATATTTATTCCAACAAGCCAGATGGAGCAAGTGGCAAAAGGAAAACTTGCATTTTCTCACCCTTTACTTAATATTAATTAAGTATATGTACATAGTAACATTTGTGGGCAGTTTGCAGTATTGAGCATTGCAGGACCTTAAGGTGATGGTGAAATATCATGTCCTTTTATTATAGTAAAGTTATAATGAAAAGAATGTTTTACAGTCTCTTTGCATTAGTAGTTGCATATTTATATATTTGTTTACTTACATAACTGATTATAATCATTATAATAGTACTAGGGCCCCAGTGCACAAATTTGTGCACTTTGAAAAGAACTGTGGGCTGTGAAGCTGTAGTGGACACAGGGGCAGGTCATGGCCCATCCTCTGTGCCCCTGCCCAGCCCCTCCCACTGCGGCCCCAGTCCCCTGTCTGCCACCAGCCCCGCTCCCATGTGCTGACGGCGCCAGCCCTGCTCACATGATTGGGGCTGGCAACAGCAGTCGGTGCAAGTGGGGCCAGCACCATCAGTGGGTGAGAGCAGCGGCTGCTGCCCCAATTGCCCCTCAGGAGCAGGGGGAGGTGGAGAAGCCCTCAGGCTTGAGCGGGGCCGGCCAGCAGCAGGTGTGGGTGCTGGGAGCAGTTGTGGGCACCTGGTGGGACCATGGCACATAGGAGCAAAGAATTTTCAGTAACCACCAGAGGCTCGCCTCGATGATAGCAACTGGTGCCCCACTTGGTCTGGAGTCCCCATTCAACTGCTCCCCCATCCCGCTGCTGATGCCTGCCATGTTCCATGCTCTGCCACCTGCTGCTGACACCTGCCATGTTCTGTGCGCACCGCCTGGTGGTCAGTGCACATCATAGAGACTGGATGTTCGATTGTTCGGTTGTT